AGGTGTGAATGGCCAAATGATTCTTCCCTGAGATTTTTGTTTTTTTCTAAGAGAGAGGGTGAATAGATTCCGGGACCCAAAGAAATCCCTTTTAGGATACAATTTTAGGCAGTGTGGGGTGGGGTCAGAAGCAGGCACCCTGGGGTCACACCCCTGCATGACCCTGAACTGACGCAGTGAGAGCCTGATGATCAGTCCAGGTGTATTTCCTCAAATCAGGAGAAACTTAAATGCATTTCCCATTGCTGTGCAGCTCTCTCTGGGAGGGGCCTTCTGACCCTGTTCTTGTCATTTCCCCCTTGGGCGCTGCCTCCATAGGGGCCTGCAGCTTCCAGGTGGCCTGCGTGGTTACAGGGCCCAGCCGGCTTCTGGCCACGTAGCTTCTGGCTAATGCTCAACCCAACCTTACATACATAGACTGAGATTTCTCCTCACATTAATATCTCCTCATGAAGAAGCCCCGTTTCAGATAACTTGAAACAAACTTGAAGGCAAATAACTTTGGGGAGAAAGTTCACAGGAAATCTAAATCTTTGTTTTTAATATGCATTTTTATTGATTTCAGAGAAGGGAGAGAGAGGGAGAGATAGAAACATCAAGGATGAGAGAGAAACATTGGTCAGCTGCCTCCTGCACACCCCCCACTAGGGGGCTGAGCCTGCCACCCAGCATGTGCCCTAACTGGGAATCAAACCATGACCTCTTGGTTCCTGGGTTGACGTCCCACCACTGAGCCGCATCGCCGGGCAGGAAATCTAAATCTGGCGCCACAAACCTGTCTTCCCATCTGTATCCCCTGCTCGGCTTTGACGAGGAACTCTGTTTCTTTCTTGTGCCTCCTTGACTTTAAGGTCCATCCCCAGGGCAACTGTCCGTGGGTCCCTGGTTCTGGGATGAGGGAGACAGGGCCCTGGAGCCTCTTCTAGAGCTAGCACTAGGACCAGAGACCTGCAGGCCCCCTCAGACGTCCCCTGTCCCTCCCCACCCACCTGGGAACAGGGTGCAGAAAAAGGTGCAAGGTTCCCATTCTTAACACACTCAGCTGCTCCTTCCTCCTCTCTGTCCGAAGCAGCCTTTTCTTTCCATCACAGCTGCATAGCCAAGACATGATTTAGAGAACTGAGTGCCATCTTCCCAGATTCAATGCAGCTCACACTCAGTAGGATATCAGGTTGCATGCTGCCAGGAGGTAGAACCTGGATTCTGGCCCAGTATGCCCCAGAATCAGAAAGTTTAAGGTGAGTGCTGACTCGGACAGACAATGAAATGATAAATAAAGCAGTTCTCCTTCACCCCTACCCACGTACCCCTCCACAAACCCTGGGAATGGATGCCAAGCAGTTTGGTGGGCACCTAGCCACTGCTTCCTGCCTTCCGAGCCCCGTAGCATCTGACAGCACCGTGTCTTGTGACCAATCCTTTCTGCTACCCTTGTCTACTGTGGTTTTGAGCCAGCTGCTCCTCAAAGCCACTGAGGACTCTTGCCTCATGGGCAAGGGGTCGGTTTGGTTAGCACTCTGCAGACAGAACTTAATGGGTGTGAATATACTTGGCATTTGAAAGTTCTGTTCGTTTAGTTGAGTCACATCCGGGCATGAGCAGCAGGTCAGCAGGAAGCATCAATGAGATCCTGGAGGCTCCTGTCTTCCTTGCAGTGGGGTCCCCAGCACCCGTCTTCATTTTCCTTCCCCGAAAGAAGAAATAAGTGGTTTCTTGACTCCTAACTGCCTCTCTCCCAAGAAGGAACCCAAGCAGGGAAGAAGCAGCACTAGAAAAGTCCCAGATACTCCTCTCTGCAGCCCTCCACCTCAGACACACGTAGAAACAGATGAGCAGTGAGAAGGTGGGGCAGGGACCGACCAAAGTGCTTGGAGAAGCATGACGTCACATATGCACTGCCCTTTGCACTCAATGGTCTGGGTCCCAGAGAACACGTTTCAACTGGCTTAGGAACTACAATAGAACAGCTTTCAATGGCTCAAAGGCCAGGCCTCTGGGCTTCCTGGGGGCCTCATGACACCTTCCAGTTGCTATTGCACTGTCCCCAGTCCTGACCTGGGTACAGAGAGTGTCATTGAGAAGTGAGGCTGTTTCTCCCAATTCCTCTTCAGAACCATGCAATGGTATTACCCTGGTGAGCTCCCGTGGGAAAGGACGAGACCTAAGCTGTTACCTGAATATTAAGATTGAAGGTCGCCCTAGCTGGTTTGGCTCAGTAGATAGAGCGTGAGACTGTGGACTGAAGAGTCTCAGGTTCGATTCTGGTCAAGGGCACATGTCCAGGCTGCAGGCTTGATCCCCAATAGTGGGCATGCAGAAGGCAGCCGATCAATGATTCTCATTGTTGATGTTTCTCTCTCTCTCTCCCTCTCCCTTCCTCTCTGAAATCAATATATGTAGTTTTTTGTTTTTGTTTTTAAAGATTGAAGGAGATCAGCTCATTTGGGCAGGCCATGCTCACTCCCCTGACCCATAGGCCTGGCAGGAGGTTGTGCTGAAACAAGACATCTTCCTCCCGTCTGGGGCAGTGTGTTGCTTCTTTGTCCTCTTCACCTTAGAAAGCTAACCACATCTGAAGACTCGAGAGGATAGTCAGTATGGGCCCTGCCAGCTGGGAAAGTGGGGAAAAGACACAGGGGCAGTGGCTGCGGCCCTGGGGGCTGTTGTGGTCAGAAGACGGATTTCCAGGTTCTCTCTTAGCACCAGCCAGGTTGACCAGCACTCTCCTCCTCCTCCTGGAGCCCTTAGGGCCTCGTCATCTTCCCCTTTTGAGCTCTTCCTCCATGACTGTTGACTCTGGCCTGTGGGGTGCAGAGCTGTAACCCCCACAAATGCTGCAGCCCACACATTATAACATGTGTTGTGTCCATTTAGAACTTTATGTCCCGGCTGAACGTGTGTGTGCCCATCTGCATGCATGTGTGTGTAATGTAGTTCCTAGTAGACGATATATGTATATAATAGCTGATGTATTTATATGGAAGTGCGGAATTAGTGCCTGTGGCAGTTTTCTGTATTTTAAACTCATTGAGTCAAATTAGTTTTAAGGAAGGGAAAAGAGGAGTGGGGGAGGGGTGGTGGAGAATGTGGGAAGAAGGACTCTTAGCAAGATCCTTCTTTAGGATTATTAGTTGTGATTTCCCAATGAGCCTCTATGATGCCCTTTTCAAATAAATGTTAATGTTGTCACCACATGGTTGTCTATTTGATTTCTTTAAAGTAAATGGTTTTTTGAGATGCAAACAGGATCTGAAAATACCAACATTAACCACTAACATTTAGCCACCACCACCTGCCATCACTTCGCTTGCTTGAAAAGGAAAGAGCGTGGGGGGGAAGGATGCTACCAAGATGTAAACATGAGGATCCCAGCATGGGAGCATCCTCTGATGGGAAGGTGTGGGCCATTTCTTCGTGAGAGTGGGGGAGGCTTTGTCTCAGGAATCTGGCGTTGATTCCTCTCACATCAGGGCATCCTGGTTTGCTTTCATTGTGAATTTCTAGATCATCAGCGTAGCATGTGTAAGTGCCATATACAAACATTTCCCAGCCACTTTGATCTATACCACCCATTGGTATGTCTAATGCAGTCGACATGTATGCATACATCTGCATGTGTGTGTGGGGGTGGGGTGTGGAAAAGAGAAAGAGAAGGGGGGGGGGAATCTGTTAGTTTCCTGTGAATTGGAAATGTATTTGACCCCAGCATTGTGCAGACATCATGGGGACATATAAAAGAAACCCAGCCCATGACCTCTGCACAAGTGGAGGTTGGGTTTCCCTGAGGAGAGAACAAGACTTACATACATACAGCAAGAAAATTGCCATCCAAGCCAGACTGCATGCCCTCCACTGAAGAGCGCTGACTGCAGAAACACTGAAAACGAGCAGGTGTGGCTGGCAGAGATCAGTGTTCCCAGTGGGAGTGGACTTGAGCCTGGGCTCATGTTGAAAATGGGGTAACATTCAAAGTGGTGGCATTTGATGGGGAATTTCAGGTAGGGACTGAAAGAGGATCGGAGACAGGTCAGTAGGTGGAGATTGGGAAGTAGGGTTCAGTAAGGAGTGTGAACTTCATTGACAAGGGCCCAGCATGCCATGCCCTGTGATGGGAAATTGGGATGGGCCTTTTTTTTTTAACCTCTTAGTTTTGTATACATTACTGTGAAGAATTTGTATCTGATGCGTTGGGATGAGAGCCACTGGAGACAAGGAGAAGTTGGTTAGGAAGGTGTTACAGTGGTGTAGGCCTGATCACAGAATGATAAAAAGGGTCTGGGTTGGGCAACATCAGGGGGAGAGAATGTGGACATAGCTGGGGAAAAAGAGATCCCAAGGCTTGAGTCCATGGGACTGAAGTATCCATGTTCCATTGTATTTATACAGATGTGTCTCCATGGGTGTGTGCCTGTGTGGGTGAGACAGTGTTGTTTGATAATGTATCTCGGTGTGCCAGTTTTAAATGAAAACAACCATCAGCACTCACACTTAGCTTCTCAGTGACAAAAAGATAATCAAGGTCATCTTTTTAACTAACCTGCACAATAGCCCCCACACTAGGGATGGAGGGGAAGGGGAACTAAATCTTGGTGTTCAGAGACTCGCCTAAGGTGGCACAGATAGCTAGGTCCAGGGGACATGACCACAGCCTCCCAGCTTACAGCCCCAGAGCCCTTCCCACTGCCGTGGAGGTTCAATGTCGGCCTGGCCCTGGGACAGGTGCCAGCGTTACTCTTGTACGGCCACGCCTGCAGGAATCCTGCCTTTTGGTGCATCTTCTAGCTGAGCCACCACCTAAACTACCTGGCCCCTTGCAGACACATCGATTGAGGGGCCAGAAAAGTACATTTCCTTCCTGTGGCCACTCCCTCTGTGAATATACTGCCGCTTGGTTACAGGGAATCCATTCTACCTCTCCTCCACTGTGCGCTCCTCTGTATCTGATGGATGCGTATTCTTATTTCATTCGCTCGGTCAATATTCACAGGCAGAGGCAGAGGTGCAACTGGAAAGGCTTTATTTCCTAACTACAGGCAGCTTTCACAGGCCGCGTGCCGCTCCCACCGCAGGAGCGAGTGGCCCAGCCAGGCTGGGGGGCGGGCCGGCCTACGAGAGGGGGGTAAGGGGTGGCCTTCCCTGGGGGAGAGAGGCCCTCACTGGCCCTTCCTGTGGGCGTTCTTGATGATGGCGTTCTTGAACAGCGTCACCAGGGGCGTCTGGCTCTTCTCCGAGCTCATGAAGCCGCCGTAGCGCTTGTCCTTGGGCGGGCTGCCCCAGCGGAAGTGCTCCATCTTGTAGGGCCCCTCGTCCTTCTTGAGCGCCGGCTGGGCCCCGGCCTCCGCCCCCGGCCCGTACTCCGGGGGGTCGGCGGGGACCGCCTCGCCCTGGGTCGCGGCGGCGCCCTCGGGGCCGCGCGCCGGCTCGGGCCGCTCCCGCTTGAACTCCACGGGGAAGGCCTCGGCCGACTCGTCCTCGGCGCCGTTGGGGTACACCTTCACCGGGCGCCGCTTCTTGCCCACCGGCTTGCCCCAGCGGAAGTGCTCCATGGAGTAGGAGCGCTTGCCCTCGCGCGGCCCCGCCTCGGCGCCATCGCCGCCGCCCGCGGCCACCGCCGCCTCCTCCTCCTCCTCCGCGCCGGCCCCGCGGCCGAAGCGGTCCCAGCGGAAGTGGCCCATGACGTACTTCCGGGGCTGCTCAGCCAGCAGCTGTTCCTCGCCGTTGCCGTTCCCGGGAAACACGGGCGTCTCGGCTGAGAGGTCGGCCTTGCAGGCCCGAATGCAGGCCTGCGGGAGAGGGTAGCGCGTGAGGTCACTGGGGCCCGACGGCCCGCACCCGCACCCGCACCTGCACCCGCGCCTGCGCCTCCGCACCGCGGCCCTCTCCACGTGCCGCCTCCCTGCTGGGATGCTCTCCCTGCCCAAGACGCCTGCCCATCCCGTCCTCATGGCATCCACGGGCATCTAAGACCCAGCCTGGGCATCGTCTCTTTAGTCCCCCGGACACCTTAGTGTTTCAAACACCCCCTGAGCAGGGCCAACATCTGACCGTGAATATGCCTCCTATATAGGCTTTCATCCATCCATGGCAGGTGGGTGGTAGTGGTGGGTACTGAATAAATATTGAATAAATAAGTATGGTTCACTGTGAATCTGGGTGGGGCATTGGGCTGAAATTAGAAGGAGAATCTCCCCAGGTGTCAAAAGTAGAAATCTGACTTCCAGGGCCTGTATTTTCAGTAATGCTGCAAGTTTACCCCAGTGATCTACACACCTATCTCCTGCCCTACCTACCCCAGCATTCTCCTAGCCTCATCCAACTGGCATTTTCTCTTTGGCAAGGTTCAACAGCTCACTGGTGACAGAACTGGGACTAGAACCCATGGGTCTGACCATGCCCTATGCTCCTTCCCTAGTGAGCTGTCAACGGGAGAGGCTGTGCAGTGGGTGTCTCCAATCCTGTGTCTCTTGGGTCCCTCTGAACTGGAACTCTCAGAATTCCCTGGGCTCTTTCTGTTTTCAGTGCCACGTGCAGCTTGCTCTGTGCTTTTGAGAAAGTCTCTTTATCTTAACTCAGTGTTCCCATTGGCCAAACACACTGAACGTGATGAAATGCATTTCACCTTCCCCACGCAGGTGCTGGCAGCAGGATGGCACTCAGTCACTGACACCAGCAGTGTGTCTTTTAGTCCTTGACTTGCTATCATTTCTCACTTGTGCCTCCCAAAACACGCTAGTGCATGTGCATGCATACACACACACACACACACACACACACAGTGTTGACCTGGAGGGAACTGAAACCTGGCACAAAAGGCCTTTACATGCTTCCTGAAAGGCTGTCTCTCCCAGAAGAAGCATGTGACATTTGGCACCAGTAAGAGGGAAACGGCCCTTGGGTTTTCCTTCTCCCTCTAGAGGTAAAGGAACCACCTAGCTGACTGGTAGGTAGAAAGGGAAGGAAAATGGAATGAAATGGCAAAGGATAGGAGGAGGTAATTTTGAAAGGAATAATTTGGGAGTTAAAAGATTGAAAATACAGGCTCAGTTGAGGAGCAATTGTTGTTATTACAATTATTAGTATTAACATTATTTTAATGGCAGCACCTCTAAATAGCTTACATTTAGAGGTGCTGCCATTGCTGCCAATGAAGCAAAGATCATTGAAAGAGATTGTGGACCAGGCCTATCTCCTTGAAGCACTTCCTCCCCTTCTTGGCCCCGTGCCGACTTCCCCCTGGGGCCTGCTCCTGACCTGGGCTGCGTCACCCAGTTATCCCTGGGAATGAATTTCCCCTTGCCCATAGCACTTTCTCTTGTGCTGCCCCTGCCCCAGCCCCAGTTCCATCAGATGCCCTAACCAAGAGGACAGCTGTGGCCCACATACCAGCAGGTTACTTTCCGTGGTGAGGTCCTGGCACTGGCTGCTCTCCAGACACCAGCCACGCACTTCCACGAAGGCCTGAAGCAGCAGGGCAAGCAGGAGGGCCCCCGAGCGGCTGCAGCATGATCTAGGCATTTTCCAGGCCAGCCGAGGCTCTGCAGAGGCAAACAAGATTGGTGGGACCCCTGCAAGGAGCAGAACAATGTTGGCCACTCACCAGGAAGGACTTGGAGCCAACAGTAACAACACAACCATTTGTGGACCTCAAGGCTTTTTAAGGACAGGAGCAGTTCAAGGAGAAGGCTGGTGTGCAGGGAGGTGGTCTGAATTGTGCTAGAGACAGTAGGGGAATAGGATCTTGGCAAACATGTGCAATTTCCCCTTTATCTCCTATTAAAAATCACACCCCAAAGAAGGTTAGCACTGGAAGCTATTTTAGGGGTCATTTGGTTTTGCCTTTTATTAGTATTATTTTAATGGCAATATCTCTAGATAGCTTAACTGGAGTGAGGTCTCCATACAAGAAGACAAGAAGTAACGATAAGCAGAAATTGTGGACCAGATCCATCTTCCAGAAGTGCTTTCTCCCCTCCTTGGAGGGTTATTTTTTACCTCCTGTCTTCTTGATTGGAAGCTCACTCTATTTAAGCTATTTAGAGATATTGCCATTAAAATAATACTAATAATAGTAATGACAAGGTAAGGCTAAGTTCTGTTTATAGCACAGAACCTTCCTATTCCAAAACTTTCATGCAGCTACTGTTCTAACACTCCAGATCCAAGGAGTAACTTGAGAAAGACAAGGGTTCAGAAACTCCTGCCAAGGTGGTCTCTTTCCCTCCTGCCCCATCAAGGCCCTACCATTCCTCAGAAACCTCCATTTTCTGGGAATAGTAGGTTTGCATAAAGGCAAATAAAACCTCTGTCCAATTTAGCCAAAACCTCAGCCAACTCAGTTTGTTGTCCTTCAACACACATGATCACTGTTTCCCCAGACCCCTGCACTCGGGAGAGATTTTTAAAGCAACCCCCATCCTTTTAAGAGCAAGTCATCTTCTAAACACATTACTAGTCAGACCTCTTGACTTCCAATTCTCTCAGCTGTAGTCTGAAATAGCCGGATTTGAACATGCAGTAGGTGAAGAAGGGAAAGAGATGGACCCACCGAGCAAAGGGAAGGACCTGCCATTGTGAACACCTACAAAAGATACTTCCAAGTGTCTCTCTGCAGATGCTGAGGTCAAGAGAGCGGGGTGTAGGATGCTGCCTGATGCTGTCTTTGCCTCTTGTGCCCAATGCTTTCCTTGACCCTGCAGGTTTCATGCTGCCAAGTCCCTCCTCACCCAGGTTGGCCCCTTGAAGTGGCCCTAAGTTCTGTCATCAGCTCACCACCAACCCCACAATCATTTTGTATTTCAGAAGACCTTCTCAAACAGCTGTTAGGAAGAAACCTCATTAGATGAGAAAAGTAATTTACACTAAGGTGAGGATGATTAATTTTTTGTCTCGCCTAATAAACATTTGCATTTTAAAATGTTTGCCTGGAAGAAACCTCTCATTCGTGGAGGCATGGGCCAGATCTTTTTTTATAGGGGAGGCTTTGGAAGTGAAAGTTCTCCCTGGCTCTCATTGTCTACTTCAGAGAGCCATTTCCTTCTCTCTGCCCCACCCTTACTTATTTTCCCAAAAGCAGAGCCAGCTCAGGGCTCCCTTCTGAATGGTGGCCAGGTACTGCCTTGATGTTTTCAGGGAAGCCATTAGATGGCGCTGGCAGTCAGTGAGCGGGCCCATCAGCATCCCAGGCAACTGGGAGAGCATTGGTCAACCTTGATGTCTACTACTGACCAGGACAGGCTGCTCCTGTGAAAGCCTTTTGATGCTCTAGGTCAAGTATGAAGTCTCAATGTAGTGGACTAGACCACACAACATCCTTGTCAATACCCAGCTTTACAAGAAAAGCAGAAAAAGGATAATCATATATCACTGTGGCAAGTGTAACATATCCTATGGGTAGAAAAAGAAATAAGATCATATAGGTCTAACAGATCCCTCAACTATATTTTAATTCCCCTCAAAACTGGCCATTCTAGAGCGATTTCTATTTTCTAAAAACCTGCCTCATGATTACAGGCTTCTGAGAGCATGTTCTTACCTTCTGCCCCACTGGCGGCGTTGTACACACGGTCACTTCCCACCCTCCAAGCTCCATTCTACTGCTAAGATGCTAGACTGTTTCTTTTTCCTTGTATGTAGTCTTACTTTTTCTACAGTGAATCAATATTGCCTTGTGCCATTTTTTTTTTATTATTAAAAAAGCCATATAGTAATGGGGAGATGTCAAATATTGTGCTTTCTGTGGGTAGGGAGAGATTTTTGAAAGCCTTGGAAAGACAAATAGAAGTCTGTACTTTGTTCATCTTAGCATTCGCTTTATAACAGAGTGACATTTGTAAAAAGCCCCCACGTGCAGGTGAATTCTCTGTGAGCTCAGCAAGACGTTGTGTCCCTGTAGAGCTGCACATTGGCCATGCCTTTCTGTAAGCATGAGAGGCTCGGAGTTTTGTCCTTACACCGAGATACCTAGGCGTCAAGTCCTACAACACAAGTGTCCATGGATTATTGTCATTCAAGAAGCCTTAGTCTGAACATCTCTTAACAATGGGTGAATACACACTTTTACTCTCCTTGGCTCTTTCCAGCCAGTCTGTGAGAGTCCCTACCTCCCCGCTTAGAAACGAAGAATTTGGGGGGTCCAGGTGCCCTGTAGACTCTCTCTCCTTCTCGGGGAAATCGCCCTCTCCTGAGCCTTGGCCAGCTCACACGGCTGCTTCTGCCCGGCAGTCTAGGGTCTGGGGGACAGAGGTCCTCCCCTCTGCGGCCCATTGAGATGGCAGACAGGGCTGTTCAGCACCTCGGACAGCTCCCTGGGCCACCTCCTTCACACCCAGCTGCTGGGTCTTGTAGAGGAGACCAAGCCATTGGCAGAAAAAAAAAGAAAAAGAGAAAAAAAACGAGCATTCGGGGGTCTGCATCCAAAAATGCCTGAGATTCAGGGAGTTTTTGTGACTATTCGCCTTTGCTCTTCTGTCCCCGTTTTCAACGTTCATTTGCACTAGAATATATGGTCTCTTTTAAGGGACATCTACCCAGAAAATTAGGAGGAAGAGGCGTCCTAACACTGGCTCTCCCAGAAGGCGGCCGGAGTCTCAGGGGTCCTGGCAGCCCCACTCCCCGGGAGGGAGGTGGGGAGAGATGCGGCGGCCGCCAGCTCCTGGGAGGCACCGCTCAGGGGCGCAGGGTTCGCCCCCAGTCGGGAGGCTGGCCCCGCTGCCCGAGGCTTCCCGCGCCGCACAGGACAAAAACTTTTCAAAGAACTCGGGACCGGGACCGCGGGCGGGAGCACCCCGAGTTCCGGGGCAGGGAGTCCCGGGGGAAGAGCGAGGCCTCGCTCCGCTGCGCCCTTACCTGCCGCGGGGAGGCTGCGCCCGAGCGAGGATGCTCTCCGGAGGGTCCTTTCTCTTCCTCTCTTCTTCCTCCTCCCCGCCTGGCCCCGGTGGCTCTCCGCGGTCCTTTTTATACGGGGTTCGCCCGAGTGGGCGCTGGACGTGAACTTCCCGGCAGGGCGACTCCCCCGTCCCCGGGAAGGGGGGCGGGGACGGGAGGGGCGCTTCCAGGTAGGAGCAGAGCGGAGCGCGGGCGGATGGTCCGGAAAGGGGGCCGGTCCCCGCCCCGGAGGCCGGGATTAGCACGGTCCTGCAGAAGGACGCACCTGGCGTCGGGCAGAGGAGGATTTAATTAAGTTCGGGGCTGGGTCTCCAGGTGGGACCGGCGGGCGGCTTAGCGCCCCGGTGTGGGTGCGCTGCGGGGGCCGCGGGGCAGCGGGGAAGCGGGTGGAGTTGCGTGTGTGCATTTGGGCTGGCATCTGCCTTGGCCGCGTTTGCAGGTAAATATCGCCGCAAAGAGCGGACGTCAGCACTACCTCCGGTTCCCCCGGCTTTTGGAAGGGGATTTGAAGATGTCGCCACAGGAATCATGAAACCACAATCTCTGTTCCAGGTGGGAGTGGGGATGCGGAAACAGCGGGGATGCGGAGCCCCTCAACCGAGGTCCTGGACAGGCTGCCTTCCTGGGGTGTGAAAGTGAGTTGCACTGCCTGCTCCCAACACACACACGTATTTATGGCTATACACTTCTAATTATGGCTTTAGCTGCATCCCCAGATTTTGATAGGTTATATTTTTATTACCATTGAGTTTATCTTCTTATTTTCCTTGAGATGTCTTGGCCGCCCTGTGGGTTATTGAGATGTATTCTGTTTAACTTCCAAACCCGGGGGGGTGGGGGGTGGGGGGAGCCCGCGGGGACCGGGAGGAGGGTTCTAATAGTTGTTTTGAAGCTAATTTTGCAGCCGGTTCAAAATAATGAAGTATATATTAATATCTAGACATAAAAAATGACTGCTATAGGTTGTTAGGTGGAGAAACTGTGACAAGCTATAGATGTAAATATATAAATATAGGCAATGATAGAGACAGAGATAGAGATGAAATGGTTGTCTACTGCTATTGTACAATACATCACAAATCTCCCAGAACACATATGGTTTGAAACATTTCTTTTGGTCCCGAATCTGCAATGTGGTCAAGGCCCAGCAGAGCCAGCATGTCCCCGACTTGTCATGGGCTTGGCCAGCTCACAGGGCGGACAATTAATTACCTCCAGCCAGTCACTCCCAGGACGGGTTCCTGGACTGGGGAGGCTCCAACAGCCAGGGGGCGTCTCAGACACCTGCTGTGTGTGTGTAGCCTTGTTGGGTGCAGCCCTAGGGGAGCTGGACTTCCCTGGGGCTCGGGCCCCCCAAGCTCGCATCTAGCACTGATTGTCCTGCCAGGCAGCGGGGGTGGCTGGTCAGCAAAGGCTTCCCAGAGGAGGGGGTGTGAGTTGGGCTGAGCTTTGGTCCCATCGGTCTCCAGGGTGAAGAGAGGAAAGGCGCTCCAAGCAGAGGGAACTGCACACAGGAGAGGCTCAAAGCAGAAGAAACCCCATAGGCGCATGAGTGCCACACCAGCACATGGTGGAGGGAGAGGGAAGACTGGGACAGTCAGAGAAGAGGAGAGATGTGGGGGCCATGTAGGTACTGAGTTAGAGGAGCAATAGGCCCAATTTTCTATGGCAGTGAGGTGGGTGATCAGGGGCGAGGGAACCTGAGACAGCAAGGGATGACCGAGGAATCAGGAAACCAGGCCGTCCAGCCAGAGTGGGAGCACTGAGGGAAGATGAGGCATAGGGAGGGTCATGAAACACTACGGAGGTGGCGTCAGTGTCGGGGAAGGAGTCACGACACTCCCCTGGCTGAGGCTGATGTGGCTGAGTGGGTGCCGCAGGGCAGTGACGTGGGTAAGAGCACAGCTCTGGAGCCAGACTGCCTGGGCCTAACCCCGACCAGCCACTGCCTACCTGTGCGACTCTAAGTGAACTCCTGACTTCTCTACCCTTAGCTGTCCGTCTGGGAAATGAGGGAGGTGACAGCACCGACCCATGTGGCTGCCATACGGATGAAATTATGAACACCATAAAACTAGGCCCGGCCCTAGTAAGCCTATTGAGTGCTAACCCTCATCTTATTATTACTGAAGTGCTGGCCCCAAGAACGTCCAACCTAGAGAGGAAGGAACGAAGGAGGGAAGGAAGGAAGGAAGGAAGGAAGGAAGGAAGGAAGGGAGGGAGGGAGGGAGGGAGGGAGGGAGGGAGGGAAGGAAGGAAGGAAGGAAGGAAGGAAGGAAGGAAGGAAGGAAGGAAGGAAGGGAAGGAGGGAGGGATTCCTCAGGCTGGGGCAATGCACCTACTCCGGGCCGCGGGCTCAGGGCCAAGGCTGCTCTCGTCATCCCTGCTTTTCACCTTTGAGTGTTTAATTGGAAAAGCAATGTCACCAAGGTGTGAGTGCGTTACAACAACAGGTGTGGCGGTGGCCTCCTATGTGGGGCAGAAGGAAGGGCCGGTAGGATAGCAACAAGGGTGGGGGGCTGAGAGCCCAGCCCGGGTGGGGGAGCACATGGAGGGTGCCTTGCCCTCAGCCTGCAGGCACTGGGGCTGGACAACAGGGCACATTTCACCAGGAGAAGAGAAGACTGAGCGGCCAGGCTGCCCTGTGCCTGCATTTGGCCAACGGGGCTGAAACCAGCACCAAACCAAGCCTTGCAGGTCAGGGGGTGGGCAGTGGGAACCGCTGACCCACGTTGACGTTGAAGCAGCTACTGTCCCATCTGCTCTCTGCCCTGTGCAGGCCACAGCGGGTGCTCACACAGCAACGGCTCAGATTTTATGCCCAGAACAGCGGGAAACCGGTGCAAGGGGGTGATGGGGCCCAGTGTGACGCCTCTGAAAGGTGGCGCTGCTGTGTTCCTGGACTGGGGAGGCTCAAACTCCTCACAGCCCCTCCTCTGCGGGTCCACATCCAGGGGACTCAGAGCAGATGTGGGAGTGAAGCAAGGGGAGGGTGTCAAGACGGCTCCGGGTTTCTGGTTTGAGCAGCTGGGCAGCGGGTGATGCCACTTACAGACCTGGGCAAAGACCGAGGGGCTCCCAGGTTTGGAGAGGGACCCGTGAGCCCTGTGACTTTGGGGACATTCAAAGCTCCGCCTCACATGCTCAAGAGGATTCGTGCAAGACTCACGGGCAGGTGAGGAATCCTAACTGCCATTAGAGTCTTTTTTTTCTTCTTCTTCTTCTTAAATCCTAGTCCAATTTTTTAAAAAATATTTTATTGATTTTTTTTTTTTTACAGGGAGGAAGAGAGAGGGGCAGAGAGTTAGAAACATCGATGAGAGAGAAACATCAATCAGCTGCCTCTTGCAAACCAAGGTACATGCCCTTGACCGGAATCGAACCTGGGACCCTTGAGTCCACAGGCCAACGCTCTCTCCACTGAGCCAAACCGGTTTCGGCATGCCATTGGAGTCTTGACAACAGAAACACTGAGAATTCCTCTGAGGGGAGCTTGAGGGGATATGGGGACAGCTGTCCAGCTTGTCTCCAAAAAAGGACCTGGAGCCTGAAGCACGGCAGAGGAGAAGGTCCCGGCGCCCCAGGCGGCCCAGGAAATGGGGTGCCACTGCCCCCTGTGACACACACACACTCACTCTCCGGGCTGTGGACCCTTTCGCACAGCTGCCCATTCAGTCTGCAGCTGGGCCCCTCCGCTGACCTTCAGTTTGACCCGAAGGGCAAAGAGGAATCAATTTGTGCAAAGAACGAGAACGAAAGCGATGTCAATTGACCTTTGAATGGGGCTTTAATTTGCTTTACCGCAGCCAAAGGGGCCTCCTGAAGAGACCCTTGAGGCTGCTTTTATCCGCGAAGCTAATGGGCGCATTAGTGCAGCCACCTGGGCCTCCTCTGCACCCCGCGGAGCAGGGAAGGCCGGAGGGGCCCAGGGGCCAGCGGCTCCCAGGAAGCGGCGCTCAGCCCCCTCAGGGTCCACGGCAGAGGCGGGAGTGGGAGGAGGAGCAATGGGGTGGAGCCGGCCTGGGTTCCAGCCCAGCTCTGTTGGCGGATGGCCTTGGGACCTAGGCTGGCCCCCTAGACCGTGGCTGAGCCCCCGGCCCCCCGTCTCATCTGAGCATTGGCAGCGAGGGGCACTGTGGACCTAAGGGTGTCTCAGTCCCTTCCGGCCTGTCTATGGTGTTATGCCCAGATCGACAGGCAAGCTCTGTGCTAGAGCATATGCTTAAAGCAGGGACGGCACAGCCCGCTCTGTCCCCGGTATCTTGGGCCTCTTTCAGCCCCCTCACCACCAGGTCTCTGTTCTTTCCACTCTGCTTCCCCCCAGGAAGCCATGGGCTAGCTTCATGAGTTACCTTCTCTTCCACCTGGCAGAGCCCTGTAGGCAGCTACGTGGGGGCCCCAGGTGGCCTTCGGATGGCCCGCCCCCTGCAGCTGTTTCTCTCCCCGGGGCCAATTTCAGTAGCTGCCCTCGCCCAGGTGCCTGTGAGCTTATCTCTACAGTCAGGTTCTCTTCCCCTGCGTTCAATACAGGGGCGTGGGGCCCTGGGAACCACTTGTTCTCTCTCAAAACCACGCTCTCATTCTAGTTCCCTTCTTCCACGCGAGGGACGGTCCCCGTGCAGTCAGAGTGGGCCTCCTGGAGGTGGGGTCTCGGGGAAGATGGCAGAGACGTTCAGGAATCAGTGGGCTCTCCTAAGAGATGCCCCCGCAGCCACGCGTTCCCGGCGGAGCGCTGGGACCAGCAGCCGCCGCTCCGGGGCAGCGGGGGTCAGAACATCCTTTTGTGGAGCAGCAGCGCCTTTGTTCGGGCCTCCGGCCTGGCAGCTGCTTTTCCAGAAGGACGGGCACTCTCCAGTTAGGGTGGAGACGGGGCGCATGACGCGGTGGCCGGGAAGGACGGAGGGTGTACATCCATTAGCGATCACCGGAGCGGCATTCAGAAGCCCTGGAGCGGCTCTCCTCTCTCCAGGCCCAACAATGGCTGGGTGGAGGGGGCTTGAAGTGGCCTTTTTGCCGAGCACTTAGCTCAGTCCCTGTCTCCGAGCCCCGCCCGCTCGGTGCCCATCTTCCGTCTCCAGGCCCTGTTCAAAGGCA